TGCTAGGCGAAACAAAGCCCGGCGGGCACCGCCGCCCCGGGCGGGGAGCTCCGCGCCCGCGAAGGCCCGAGAGCAGCCCCGAGCAGGCTGCGCGCCTGCGGGGCCCCGGGCAGCAACCTGCTGCGGCCGGCGAGCCGCGCAAACAAAGCCTGCGATTTTCCCTCCAGTTAGAACCCCATCTAATATCAGGGGGCAAAACCGAAGCCCATCTGCCAGGGCAGCAGGGCCTTCTTCACACATGTGTGCATAGGAATGGCTTGACAGAAGTGGAGAGTGACCCAACCCAGCACATCTTTTTCACCAGGCCAGGCAGATGCAGAAAGGAGCTGTGTGGAAGCAACAACTCACGTGTGTTTAAAAACGCTCCCAAGCATCCCAGGCAGTTTGGAGAGCGGTAGGGAGTGTCAGCGGCACGAGTCAGACAGCTGGGGGTACACGAGTGGGGAAGAATTAACTTTGCCCTAGCTTTCAGCACTGGGTTGTCTGTCTGCCTGTGTGAAGAGAAATGTGACCACACCAGCAGCAGTTTGGGAACACTGTAACGCTTGGTATTATAGACGAGGCAAACATGGTGCCAGCTCAGAGCATGACAGGTCAGGTGTCTCTTGAGTGCCCAAAAGAACAGCACAGGCCGAAAGTCAGACCAGTTGCTTTATATGTATGAGACCCAGGATCATACATCAAGCAACTAGTTGTACTATTGATTTTAAGTTGGCTGCTGGTGGTCCACAACAACCAAGGGTACAAAGTGAGGAATTTTATCCCTCCCTTGTTTTCCTAGTACATCAAGGAGTACAGTGAGCTGGTAGATAGAGTGCACAGAACACCAAGTAGAGGACTGAGATTTGAAACTGGGGTATTCCTGGCCTTTTTCTTAAAGAATTGAATAAATGTGTTCTGACAAAACCTTATGGAATAGATGGGCATAAATCTAAAAGCAGCACAATCTGGATTTATTCCTACCATGGTAAAAAGCCCTGACTGAGCCACAGTGAAGGTAGTGTAATTGAGCTAATTTGTGGGTAGTATATTTATCTCTGCTCTATGTATGAACATTTCTGTCTGGAACTTGCTCATTACTCCCTGAGTGCTGGTTCTGGCCAGGACAGGGTTAATGTTTGCAGTAGCAAGGAGGGGCATGGCTAGGACCCTGAGGTTATTCTTAATCACCTCAAATCAAGCACAAGGGGCAGGGGTCCTTTCTGGTCCTGTTCCATGTGGTAAGAACTCACATGTGAATCGACCATCTCTCTTGTACACTCTTTTATTAAATTAATACTATTCATGTTACTGTTTGGTTTTTCTTTCATTGCTTTTTCAAGTAAATTGTTCTTACCTCTGCCCGTGATCTTTACCTTTTGTGCCTCCAGTTCTGCTCTCCAGCCTGCTGAGGGAGGGAGGAGTGAGCAAACAGCAAACGATTTAAAACACTAAACTGGGGAATACTATTCCTAAGCCATAATACCTTGTCATTCAAGATCTGCAGAAACAGTCAGGTTCCACTCCAATCTGCAGACTTGAGCATTCTGCCTCACTCAAGTCCTTTACATATTTTGCTTTCAATACAAATGGCTCCTCTTTAGTCCTACATAATATTTTTGATATTACACGTTTGGAACTACTTTTGATTTATTTGTTGTTCAACTCGTCAGCAATTCAGCATAATTTAATCTGATGCTGCCCACTGCAAAGAGACTGCCCAGCTCAGACATAGACTATAAATCCCAAAAGCACTTACAACTCTTAGCCATGGTAAACCCATTTATTTACTCTCAATAAAATTATCAAACAAATCTACAGAAGCAGAGCGTAAGTAGGTAACTTTCAGAAAAACAGGGAAAATTTATAGGAAAATTTTAGGTCTGGTATAAATGATGATTACCACTGGCCCTGTGATTATTACTTTTGTGTCTTTTTTAATACCTTAGTCTTATTCTCATTGTGAACCTTTATAATGTCTTTTACTGTGGTAAATTATTTTAAACTGAATCTAGGTACTAAAATAACTGTTTAGAGTATATTCATCATATGTTTATAATTTAAAGGGATTTTTCACCCATCACCAAGTACTTCTTATTTGTACTGCTAGCTGTATTACAAAATTAAGCTTTCATAACATTTTTTTTGCTGTTCTGAAACCAATTTTGGGGGCTTTTGTAGTAACTAGAAAAATCTTTAGGAATGCTGACATGCTGTCATTTGTCAGGCTCTAAGGGTCAGAAAAGACCATTTGACCATCTAGTCTGACCTCTTGTATCACATTTCACTGCAGCATTTCTCCATGCATTCTCTTCATCTTTATGTCATTTTTAATATCCATGTGAACTACTAGCATTTTCTAAACAATTTATATTGACGTGGAAAGAGAAATTCTGCTGCTGTGTGTCATTGCAGATTTAGGATAGGAGCCCTGTCACATGTTAGTCTTTAAATAAGACAAGGAACAATTGACATGGTGCATTCCTGGCACACCATAATTACCAACTTGCCTCCTCAACTTTCATGGCCTAAGCATGAAGAAAGAATTTGTCACTTCACCTGAATAGTTCAGAAAGATGAGATGAAAGCATCACAATGGGGATAATCCTATTACTGTAATTAGGGAATCATCATCTATCACTTCAGCTGTAAACAAAGCCTGTTTAGTTTTCACTCAGGACTTCCCAAGCATGTGAAGGCATCTGCACCCCCTTCACTATTTCAGTGCAAGAAAAACCTTATTTCACTAATTATTTGTCTTGTTTAGGTTTAAAAATATTCCTGAACTATTGAAGGATCACAGACCTACTAAAAGCTGACAAAGTTTTTAAAAGTCCTTGAAGCAGCAATTAAATATTAACAAAAATATACAAACAACTGCCTTGTGTCTAATTTACAACAACTTGTGCTCAGACTCACCATAGCATTTTAGTCAGTGTTCAACATTACTAACACACTTGCAAAGCACATTTTACTCTCTCTCCAGATCAAGCAGCTAGCCCATATGTTTGAGCATTAATACCCTGGCAGTTGCCATCTAGCCCACATTTCCATAAAATATGTTCAGGAAAAAGATCAAATTAGAGTAATATGCAAGAAACTAAACTATACAATTCTATCTGATTTCTTTACAATTTTCCTTTTAGCTATCAAAGGCAAAACTGTATAAAAGGAAACAAAAAAATTGAAATTAATCTAGTTTTGAATTTTTTTCCCACTCTACCTCTAACTGTAGTCACAATAATGTTTCTGATAGTATTTAAAACTATTTTTTGTTGTTGTTGTTGTTTTTTCACCAGTAACAAAATTTTTGGTAATGAAATTGCAGTAGCACAACTTTCTCCACAAAGTCATCTTCTGGTTATATTATAAACATATCTGTGCCTTTATTAATTTTATACAGGTGCAGCAGCTGTTCTGTGGCCAAGCTTCACATCGATTTCAAGTTCTGTGTACAGGCCCACATACAGTTCTGTGTGCATTCTAAGAATCAAGGTGACATCTCTCAGTATTAATGTCTCTCAGTATTAATGCCAACTCTCTGAATGTCACCAGAGAAGAGCAAAACAATTTTTTTCCTGATACCAAATCTATTGAATCATTTGACTCATCAGCTTGAAAGTCACTTTTTGATAGCAACCAGTATTAGTCCCTCCAGAAGGCATAATCATAAAGGTTTTAAAACTCATTTTGAAATTGAGATATTTCTTACTTTGAATTACAAAAGTAGTTTTCTGTGTTACTGTGTTTCTCAAGGAAAACTTTCCAGTTTGAGCACTGAATCCCCCATGTTTCAAAAGCAAGAAGTAGTGTCCACTCTACCTTCAACAAAGGACTTTCTGTTTCATCATTAATGCATTTTCTTTTGGATATCCCCTTAGAGAGTCTGTCTTTTCTACCCTACATCATTTCCTACAACATCAGTGATTCTCACTGCTTTTCAGAACTCCTAGCACATTTTTAATGCAATGATTGAAATGACTATCCACTATGATCCCTTTTAACATCACTTCAGTGCAGCTGAATTAAAATACCAGCAAAAATATGAATATAAACAGATAAATTTAAATTACAGTGACTCTTACATAAATTTACAGGATGACAAACTTTTTCAGACCTTCATGAAGGCTTGCTAATTTTCCAGTGGTAGAAAATACACATTAAAATGACCCCATCATTCAAATCCGTAGTTCAAAAATCAGCGCATTTTACTTTTAGATTTAAGTGCCATCACTAATTGCTGGTGAAATGCACTGACTCGTTCTCTCTGGGCTGGCCAGTTCAAGATGCAGTGAGATCTGAACATTCCTCTTCTCAGGTGAAGTGCATGATACAACTTGTAATCTTGGATATCATCCAGAAAGATCAGTATGATGGAGTCCCGACTTTGTTCAACAGCTTGCTGAAGAGCATGATACACCTTGAAACTGAAGCAAAAATAAGACAAAAATCAATGTTTTCTTTTATGTGAAAGAAAAAGACAAACAGTTCTTACAGGGGGCTTAATGTCTATTTTGTGATATACAATAGTTATTACTTCTCTTAAATTAGTTGCCTCTAACAAAAAAAAGTAAATTAATGCTCTAAAAATACAATCTAAGTGCACTGTCCTGATATAGCCTTGTTTAGCACTATCCCTTTCTTTATGAGACCACTATATAAGAATGGTGAAAAGACTAATTTAAAGGCCAAAAAAAATCATCTTTCATTGCTAGTGGTCTCACTCATTGTTGCTCTTCTTCAAATGTGTAATTTTAAGGGAAGCAATCTGCAAAGGTGACAGCCTGACTTTTGGTAAAAAACTCCAAACAAACAAAACTAAATAAAAAACTCTCCCTCAAAAAAACCCCTGAAAACAAAAAGAAACCAACCAACCAAAAAAACTTCCCAAAAACAACAAAACAAAAAACCCCAAACAAACAAATCACAAAAAACACCCAAGAAAATGCCTAAAACATTGACTTAGATATTCAAATGTACACTACCATATGTGTGAAACAATTAACTTTATTAACTTAGGAATTAAACTGAAGTTACAATATATTAGGTAAATATATTGAAGTAGATTTTGCATGGGTATTTTCCATTAGATGTTATGTTTTTATTAAATTACAATAAAAAATATTCTTATTAAAATATCTCTTAAGAAATTTTTCCCCTTACAGATAAAATTTTATATCCTACTCACTTTTTACACCAGGGATCCTGTAAGAGGTGTTCAGTCACAATAAAAATAGTCTTCCTGCTCATTTTTATGCTGTTAATTGTGGCTTCAAATTCAGATACACCTGCTTCAAAGTCCCGTTCTTCTAAGCAAAACTTAATTTCAAAGTGGTTATTTTTTTCCAGAGACATGAAATTTTTAGACACCCAGTTCTTGTCCTCCCTTGCATGAATAACATAGGCATCGTAATCATACCGTTCCTGTTGTCTCTCAAATTCTTTAAAACCAAGCATTCGATTGACTAAAATATTCCAGTAGAAAGCTATCCTCCACCCTTCAAAATGGATGGTAAGGACGATAAAAATGAGTAGTGTCACAATAGTGGTAGAGATCACAAAAAGAAGTTTAAATGGTGCACTGTCTTTGCAAGCTGAGCTATCAAAATACAAAACCAGACTACCGTGATATTTAGGTGGGGTGTTGCAAATGTACTGGGACCTCAGTCCAGGTATATCTGCTTGGGTCTCATTAAGCCAATCAGCAAACCAAGCAATGCTTTCACAAGTACAGTCAAAGGGATTGGAATCCATCTCTAGTTTTCTCAAGCTCCTGAAAGGTGGGCCAAATACTTTTTCTTCAACTGAGGTTATCAGATTTTTCTGAAGGTTCAATGAATTCAGAGAGGCTTGGTCATCAAACAGAGTTGCAGGAAGCAAATTCAAATTATTTGATCCTAAATCCAAGAGTTTTAATTGAAACAGACCCTTGAAAACCTGAACTGGAATTTCATCAAGCCCATTTGATTTTAAATTAAGAATTTGCAAATTGGGAAGACCTTTTAAAAAAAGAACAGGGCCACCCGGATTTGCATGTTTCCAAAGCCGGGCTAAATTATTGTGTTGCAAATCCAGGATGTCAAGTTTGTCAAGTCCATCAAACAAGTCTTCTTTTATGTTTGCTATGTTGTTATTGCTGATGTCCAGGACAGTCAGGTTTCGTAAAGGATGAAAAGGTGAGGGAGAAAGTGCCAGATTACTGCAGCCTACCTTCCTCAGCATCAGTTTTCTAAGACTTGGAACAAAAATGAATGATTCACTTTGCAAAGTCAAATTTTTATTATAGGAAAGGTAAATGTCTTGTAAGTTATCGAGACCTTTAAACTCATGGCCTGTAAGCTGTTGATTAATTTCATTGAGACCAAGATGAAGAATTTTCAGGTGTCCCAGGGAAGAAAATGCCCCACTTTCTATTGTAGAGATTCTGGTTTTTGTGAGGTTGAGAACCTGTAAGCTAGAATTAGCAAGTGATAAAAATGTTTTATTAGTTATTCTTTGTAAGTTTATGTTGCAGTTGCAGAGGCTCAGATATTTCAGGTTGTTCAGACCTGTGAACATATTAGCAGTAATTCCTGGAAAATTGTTATAATCCATTATAAGATACTCCAGGTGGTATAGCCAGTGAAAAGAAAAATCTTCAATTTTCCCAGTAAGTGAGTTTATGAGATTCAAATATTTGAGGCTGGATAATCCATAAAATAAACGTGAAGATAAATTAATTTTATTAAGCTTCAGGTTTAAGTACTGTAAACTTGAAAGCCACTGAAATGAGTCATTTTCTATGACAGAGAGAGAATTTTGGGAAAGGTTTAAAATTGTAAGATTTGTTCCTTGCAGTCCCTGGAAAGTTGACTTGCCAATGTAGGAAAGTTTCACGTGGCTCAATGAGAGGTTTTGAATTGCTGTGTTTGATAATTCTGTACAAAGTTTATTTGTGCGATTTTCACCAAGTTCAACATTGTTCAGTATGAGGCCAAACAGATTTCCAATTGTATGGAAACATCCCGTATGAAACTGAAAGGACAAGAAAAAAAAAGTCTTGACCTAAACAAAGAGATCATGTAGAAAGTTAACCAATAAAACAAAAACTTGTAAAGGTTTTCAAATGAGATTTTCAAGCAGAATAGAGCTCCTACATCCAGATTACTTCACATCCAAATTCAGACAAACACTTCTTTGAGTTTAGACCTCTTGTGACAGTAGTTTTATCATTTATAACATGATTATCATAAATCTGAGTAGTATTATTTTAGAAGATAGAAAGGTGATTATTGAGATGCAAGTTTGTATCCAACAACCAAAACTCCTTTTCTAGAAGTATAATAAATTTTTTTATATCTTTCTTCAGCCTTCTTCTATTGGTATCTGCTAGGCATATTAATTTACTGGTTATTAGGTTGCAGGCAAACAAGAAGAAACCCAGTTTCTCTGTGCAAGGAGAAGCTACTATGAAATCTAATACTACCCACTTGCTTTCACAATATGGATCACAAGCTTTTATCATAGTGCTGGCCCCTCATCTTGATTAAGATATCTGCTGAGGGATTAAATACTCAGTTTGTCAGAATGGTGTCAGAAAGCTATTCCTTGTGCCAGAATAGCCCTACATGAAGTCACAGAGTGGACCAGGTAGGGAACCAGTGTGACTTCAAGCTAACCAAGCCAAAACACCTGGAGAGTTTCCCCGGTGATCCAGGTCATAAATCGTGGTATCAGAAAGAGGGCGGGATGAAGCAGCCAAGTAAAAGAGGATGGTGGGTTTCACTCTTAGCACTGATAAAAACTTATACCACCTTATAATTCTTGTAGGTTCAATATATATATATTTTTAGAGAACAGTCAACTGGGAAACAAAGCAAAAGAAACAAACAAAAACCAAACAAACCAAGAAAATTCAGTGCATATTCAGTATTTGTATGCTAAGGATCAACCAGTTTAGAATTGCCACACCATCACTCTTCAAAGAATCACGACACTGAGAAGCAGGTCAGAGAGCACAGTGAGGTAGATGGAAGACAAAGCACCCATGTGCGTTTTTTTTTCGAGGAGCATATGTTTCGGAAATTATTATTTCTCTGGAGTTCCCATTGAAATAATAGCCACAAGTGAACACTCTCTTTGATTAACTGGCAAGTGAAACTTAGATTGTATAACCAGACTTGCATAGTACCACACTTCTTACCCACTTAGAAAGTGTGTCAGCCCTTCATCTTCAGCACATCAAAAAAAGTTCTGCACTGAAAATACCTGGTAGAGATTCTTAAAGCATCTCAAATTAGGTTTTGATTGATCTCTGATCTACATGGAAGAAGCTGTGAAACCAGCCTGTGCTGATTTCAGTGGCAAAACAATAACTCTGTAAATCACTGCTGGAGGTCAGGAATGATGCTGCATAAAACAGAATGGGGTTTGGATCTCAGCAGATCAAAATTGTAATGTAAATGCCATAAACTCATAAAGGATAAATCAGGATGGTTCCATTTTATATTTACACCTGTTGAATTTCTGTTGAAATGCTTCCTACCTCTTTTAGTGGATTTGATGACAAATCAAGACTATTCAATGAGGTGTTTCTAAGAAAATTGAAGTCTTCTTTTTTCAACTCAGTGATTTGGTTGCTACCCAACATGAGCTCATGGAGTTTCTCCAACTGTTGCTCCGATCCTAAATTGGCTGATTTCAAGGAATTATGGGATAGGTCCAAAATATTCAAGTTCTGGAGAGAAGTTGCAAGAAAAAAATTATAACATTATAATTTTTTAAAATTTTATGTAATACACAAAAAAATTAAAAATATGTAATTAGAGTATAATTGATTAGAAATTAGTTGAAATACTACACTTTAAATGAATTTGTAATAGAGAAATGGTAGCTTTCAAGCTCCTGCTGGAAGAAGTATTCTGCATCTTTCACACCAATAACTTTCACGGTATTAATGGTATTAACCTGATAAAATATCTACTACAAACCAAAGTAGATAAAGTTCCTTAATTCACTGAAGGCCCTCCTGCCTCAGATAAAGTGTTGTATGCAAAAGCCTACAACTATTGCAGTATTAAACACTGCATTCCATGCTTTTTCAGCGTGGTCCAGCCCCATAATGGAATGACAAAGGTGAAGTTCCCAGCATGGAAGCTGCCTGTACTTATTTGTATTTTGTTGTGTCAGCAGTCCTGCAGTGCAAGTACAGTACACTTTATGTAACTCAACTGGAATACTGAGTTTAGCAGAAAAGTTCAGACCTACTCAAAACCACATGCACACTCATTAGAAGACTGAGTGACAATTAGTACCCACACATTTTATTTACTTTTTTGTCCTTAGGTTCTTCTTTTTACATGACTCCCGCCTGGTGCAAAGACTGTGAAATGATCCTTTCCTGCTTTCTGTGGTGGTGTCCCAATCTCTGCTACAGACAAGAATATTTAACCACCTGTAAACCACCAGGGAAAGCAAAGGTACAATAAAAGCATTTTTACTCTTTCTCAGTTCTTAAAGTCCTGAGAGACACTACATTCAGCCTAAGCACCGGCCTTCCTGGTTTGATTATTTAAACCTGGACAGCGAGACTTTAGGCTACCAGCTATCCAGGCAGCTCAGATTCCACTCCATCGAGTGGAATAACTCGCTGTTATTCTCATCACCTGCTGCTGCTGTTCACTCAGCACATATCCTGCATGGAGGGATGCTTCAAAGGGATGCAATCACAGAAAAAGGAATGGAGAGCATTAACTCACAAAGATGACTGAGACTCCAATGTGCTATAACAGAAGAAGCCACAAGGCCTCTTCTTCAGCAAAAATTGAATCTTTCAGTGAAAGATTGATTATATGTTGGGTATTTTGAGATACCAATGCAGCAGTTCTGTACACACACTGGAAAATACAGTGAATTCCCCTTTTATAATTTACATGAAAATAAGCATTTCTAACTCTTACCTCCAGCGTTTTAAAAGGATCATTTTTTATACTTAGTCTGTTGTATCCTAGATTGAGCTCGATCAGGTTAGTGCAGGAAGCAAAGACTCTGTCAGGGAACTTGTGCAATTCATTATGTTCTAACTTCAGAGTCTGCAAGAGGGGCACATTTTGGCACAATTCTGGTTGCAGTTTAGAGATGCTGTTGTAGCCTGCATTCAAGTAAACCAGCTGGCTGTACTTGGTCAGATTTGCAGGACCTAGCTGTCTTAGCTGATTATGAGAAATGTCTAAACTCGTTATATTGTTTGGAAGATCAGAGGGAATTTGAGTCAGCTTTAGGTGACTGCAGTCAGCCATTTCATTTTGGATATGACATTGCTTTCCAGCTGATGCCCACGGCCAGAAGACAAACATCAGTCTGACGTATAAGTTGCTCCACCAAAGAAGAGTGTTTTGCATCATTCTATCTGCAAAGGCAAATTGAACACTGCAAATTACAATCATTTTGACAGGACTTGCATCTTCAACTGAAGGCTAAGCAAGCAAGGCTTAAAAAACATGTGACTTCATAGTGAGCAAACAGTCGGCGTTTTTAACTCATGATTTTTTTTCTGCATTTATTTCTGCAGAACAGCTATGTCTAATAATCTCTCTAAATAAAGACTTTTATTTAAAAGTAGTAATATTAGCTTACATAAAAATAAGTATGTTAAAAAAGGTACCAACTTTTATCTATTATTGATGAAAATTTCCAATCACTTTCTCTTTTCTGATTAATTTTACATTGCTTCAACATTCATAAAATACATTACATATGATAAATTGTACATAAGCCTCTTTATGTTAGTAATTGATCACTGAGCTTAATTACATGTAAAACATTTATAGTTATATGCAATAAAAATACATAATATACCACTACTTTCTTTTACAGTTCTTGCCAGTTTTTATTATACAAGTAAATCACACAAAATTCTGTCATTTCATCTTATAAAGAAAGAAGGAACACCAAGTTATAGAAACATAAATGAGAAAGTAAGAACACACAAAATAAGTCAGTACCAACCTAATCAAAGAGAAAAATAGAGAAAAGCCAAGTTATAGAGGAGACACTGCCTATGGATTCAATGTATTTTTCCAAATACTTTCAGGAGAACTCACACATTTAATAATTTATATACTCCACCCCATAACTTTTGGTCATTTAGATTAGGATATCAACACTGAAACTAATTTTCAGTGATTCTACCTGTTTTGTCATTAAGTTTCTAATGAATCTTGGGCTTTTTCATATTTTGTTCATTTTCCATTTAGTATCCATTAGATTTAAATTCGCCTGGTGATCTTGTAATGAAACTTTACTGCACAAGGAAGAAAACTATTTCCATATAAATTCTGACCAGAACAGAGCTGTAAGAGCTCAGAAGGGTTTGACTAGCCTTCTGAGTCATAGAGCCTGTCCAATTAAATGGCATTTCTTCTAATCAAAAGAAGAGTCCTCTGTATCTTCCAGATTATTCTCTACAGAATTAATCTTTAGTAGAGGGAGAACATACTTCATGGGTGCTTGCCAGAACGTTTTTTTCATGCTTTAGCAAAGGACAGTAAGCTTAGGTTTCTGTCTTCAATTTTCTTTTTTAAAAAAATAGAAAGCTTATACTTTCAACCCTGATGCTTAAAGTGTCTCCACAGTCTTGATACACACATATCTGTATGGCCTTCTGCCAACAAACTTGGAACCTACCTACCAACATCAACTTACCAATTAGTTCAGCAGTCTCAGCAGGATGGGCTCCCAGGCAGAGAAGGTTATTATTGTCCCAGTACATAACAGGCTATACATGGGAATAAACCTGCTTAGACTTAACAGGAAGCTAGAAAAGCTCATCAAAAGGCTAATTCATGGGAAGCATAAGCTTTCTTACTTCTACAACTCTCATTTTCCTAGGAACCTGTGTTTAATTAATATGATCGAGCTTTGAACATATTAGAGTATTGTGTTTAGCAAACAATATGAAACAAGAACTGAGAACAGAAATTAAAATAGCACATTTGTATCCAAAAAAAAAAAAAAGAAAAAAAAAGAAAAGTTCTTCATAATTGATGTTTTCTAAAGAGAAAAATTTCCACTATCATAATCATAGCAAAACACTCTAAGGAATTGACACTGCAACCTGCAGCCAAGCAGGAGCCTAGCAGGTCAGATCCCAGCAGAGTTTGACTCCATAGCTGACATGACTTTTCAGAGGTCATGCATTAGGACTGCTCCAGTGACAGAAAGTCACATTGTAGTGGCCAGAGGGGAACCTCATGGCTGCATTTTTGGGAGCAACCTGGCCAGCTGAGACATTTGTATAATCCAGTGGGACTGGGGATACAAGCAAGGGATAGAGGGACATATAAAACATTGTAAAGGCGCACACACAAAGGACTACAAAAGGTGGTTTAAAATAAACCTTAATGAAAAAACAATTCCCTGCTGGATAATACGTGTCAGGCTGGTCCTGCAGACAGCCTGGCCTGCTACAGCTGCTGCCAAACACAGCACCTGTGTCCTTGTAGCTGAGGAAAATAAAGGACCACTTGTCCTGCCTCTTTCGTCTGCACCCCAACTGCTGGAAACACGAAGGAAAACAGGAGGGAAGCTGATCTGTGGCAGAAGCTTGCATCCTGGTCTGCATCATTCTCAGGGTTTGTTTTAGCATATCAGACAGCTGCTGGGTTCTGCAGCAATTGTTGCCAGCTCAGCTTTAAGCTTGAAAGGCAGAAGAAATGTATTGCACAATCACAAAACAGTTTCTTCAGGTGACTTCCAGGGAGGCACAATGGGATGCCTTTTCCTGGTTTTTTCATTGCAAGAAATCTGGAATCAGCTTTAGGTGTTCAAGCTTTGTCTGGGAGTCCAGTGAAGAAAGCACATACCCATTACCAAACTTCAGGGACAGCATTTCAGATGGGCAAAAGGAAGAAATACAGTTTTAACAGTATGAGCAAGAACTTTAAAAACTGGCACTGACTTGGCTAGCTTACAAGTTAAGAGAAATCCAGGATCAAGGAAATCACCCAAACTCCTGAGCAGCACTTTGCCTTTGCACCTCGATATTCACATTTATTACTATGAAGTGAAGAATTTTACCGACTCACCTCTGCGGGCTTTATCCCCTTCTGTCTGGAAGCATCCCGCCTCTGCGCTAGTTTCGCAGCACACGAAGAGCGTGAGGAAACACTGCTCAGATGCAGAAGAAGCGAAAGCGAAAGCGTGGCCAGGCGCGGCGAGGGGAGCGGCGGGATGGGCTCCCCCGTCGGCACCGAGCCCTCCTGAGGTGAGGCTTTCAGAGGTGCTGAGGGTGGAGGTAGCTCCTAACCTCACAGCTGGGATGCTGCTTGTGGTTGCTGACCACAAGTAAACCGACTGAAACACACAGATGTGTCACAAATGAGCAGCAGCAGCAGCAGCAGCAGCGCACGATCCCATTCAAAACTCAGCTGCGATTTATTCCTGGCTATTTCCAGTGTCTCTGAAAATGCTCAGGGGCGTATCCTAAAAACTGATATCCTGACCGACAGATTAATAACATAGGAATATATTAGTTTTTTAAAGTAGAAACAGCAACAATGTTTCCTCCAGAGCCAGGTACAGTATTCCTCTTAAAAGCGAATTTGAATATGTGAGGTAGTAATATATTTAATTTCTAAGAGAGAAAATAAAATATTCTGTACTAAAAAAATAAAAAAACAAAAAAAGACAACAACAAACGGACAAATTGTTTTTAAAAGTCCAAGTTAAAGTTGCAGCTTTCAGATACGTGTCCTCTTCATACTGTTTGTGAACCTGTGTGTCCCTGCTTTCCAAGGGACCTGACCATCAGTTTCCTGGAGGTGACCTTCTCAGTACCACCTTCTGGACAAGAAGTGCTATTGCTTCAACTACCTCGGCATTCATGAATGCTCTGCAGAACTGGTCCAGCTATTTGTAGGACATACCAAAAGCTGAGGTCACCTGACATTTTTAAGTAGTTGTATGGTCCCCTCTTAAGTGAAGAGGGGGTAGCTGCAGACTAGAAAAGAATAAAGTTGGGGTTTAATTCTTCATTAGAAGTGTTTGAAATTATAACCTGCAAGCTATGTGTTGTTAACTGCTTGCCCATCAGGAGCTCTGGGGAGGGAGGGAGCTTGTGCTGGTTTCTACCCTAAATCTGGGACTACTGGCAGATTTGCTGTGGAGGAGGGTGGCTGGGAGATCGGCTGGGAAACAAAGAGGTTGAGACCCTTACTTCCTACTTCTGTTCTCTGAATTCTTACAGAAGTTGCCAAATAGAATTTTTTTTTTTTTTCTTGGAGTGGGGACAAAAACTGAGACCACAACCAAGATCCTTTGGAGCTGAAAGCCTCTAAAGCCTTTCATTCCCATTTCACAGTTGCTCTTGGTGTAGGAAGAGTAAATTTCTGTTCTATTCTGTCCAGTGTGCTTGTGTCAGGATGAGGCTATTTGATCAGAATCACAGCCAGCTGAAGTCACATTAAGTTAATCTGAAGAGGATTTTCATTTTGTGTGTTCTAATTTTGCTGCATTAGAACACAGAAGATCACACTGATGGTAAGAAGCATAGTAATTAACAACCTTTGCAGATCACTATTCCAGCATAGCAATACTGTCAGGTATTTTATCTCTCCCTATACCATACTCATAACTACAGATAAAATGTGCTCTTTGATCCCACCTCACAATTTATTGCATCTCAAACCTCTCTTCCCTGTACACATAGGAGATTATTAGGAAGCTACAGTTGTCCCAGGCACGATGGAGGAAAACCAACTAATGCTGGTGAAGCTTTTAATTTTTTTCACTAAGGCCTTTTCAACACTCTTATGAGCCTTATGAAAATATCAGTGGCTCAGGGAGACAACAGCACATGGGTGGTCAAAAGCTCTGCTCTTTTGGAGCTCTTGCAGTGGGAGTAAGAACACTTATTTTAGTACAGAAATTTTCAAAGCAACAAAGCTCTTGCAAACATTTTGCAGTGTGATTTTCAAGAGCCAGCAAGATAGTGCAAGATACACTCTAGGGCATACAGAACCAGAGCAGATTCAGCAAGTACAGTTGGTATTTTTGAGGCAGACAATAAAAGTGGATACATTTGTGCTTACTTCAGTGGTGTGCGATCTCATCAGGTTCCCAAGTTGCCATAACTCCACTGTGTAGCCTACTTTACACTCTACTTATGCTTTCAAATGCTGGAAGGAATATGACAGCACCTAAAGGAGGGCGCAGTCAAGCAATCCACGTCCAGAGAATAATTTAGAAAAAAAGCAGCACAAAAGTTAGGCACAGCTCTCACATTGTGGTCAGAGTAAGCTTGAGGAAGGTGGTTCTGAATGGTAACAAAACACAGTCAGGCAAAATACTGGAGATGTAGCCATTTCATTTACATGTTTAAGAGCAGAGTAACCAGCTACTACACAGACCCAGCTTAATCTTATCCAGTCCATAAACACGGAAGAGTAAGGATGTACTTGCAGTACCTCTTGGAACACTCCCAGAGCTAGCATGCCACCAAAACTGAGTCTAGGAAAAAGGGAAGTTGTTGTAGTCAGAAACTGCATGATCATGTCCAGGGAAGCTCCATTTTCTGGGAACCAGCATGTAATACCAACGAGATGAACTGGCCTCTATTGATCAGCATGGGAACAAACTGTCCTTCAGAGACAGAGAGCTCTCAGCAAAGGCAGGGTGACAGGTTTTGAGGGACAGAACTAGGGTGGAGTTCAGGGTCAGGGACCACTAGAACCACAGCAAGGGAGAGACCCCCAGGGTCTCAAACCCAATCAGAACTCCTGGGCCACACCTCACAAGGGGTTTGGGGTGGGACAACTTCATCCAGGGCTCACACGGCCCCTCCCTCAAAGCAGGAGGTCAAAATTCACACTAGCTTGGCTTACAGCCGTGCCTCTCACGTGTACAATGCTTATCTGAAACTAAGTCTTTGCCTCCCTGAGGCACCTCACAACAGGAAGTCTGCTGATCTTACCTGATCTTCAGATATGAAAGCGTATTAACTTAGCACATAGCTAATGGGACTTCAGTGTTTTTGTAAACTGCAAGTCATGCTGCAAGCATCAGGGAGAAGACCTAAAATGAGAGAAGGCATTCAGACACTTCCAATGACTATCAGCCACTCAAAAGGTGAAAGCACCTTTTGTTGTAGTTGGATTCAGACATCCTATGCAGCAATGGACAGGTTCATGGAAACAGAATTTAAAGATGTCTGGAAGTGAAAACAGCTACCAGGAGAAAGAAAGCAGGAAAGAGCAGACCTGAACACTAAAGGTCTCAGTCAAGTCTTGACAGGGGACTTCCTGCAACATCAAGGCAGCTAGAAGGGAGGACAGTGTGGCAGACAGAGTTAGCTTGGATCTGCCTCCTGAGACAAGAATAGATGCTTCTCTTGTGATTACATGAATTTGGTTAAGTTTAACTGTGCTGTTGAAATGTCTAGCAGGCCATGTGACTTTTGGGTGCGATAGTTCCTCTAAGGCTGCTCAGTCAATACTGCTAATTTACAAGTTGGAAAAATGAAATTACATTTGCTTTTTGTTGACACAAAAGTGGAAAAGAGTATGCAAAGTTTCATAGGCAGAATATGTTCATTACTATTTTCCCAAACCTCAAAGATGAAAGAATTTTCTTCCATGAATTTCTTTGTTTAATTCCTCTTGTGGAATAAAAGAAATGTTTGTGAATAAAATCTGGGAACATGACCTGGGAAGGTAGCTGAGAACTCCAGCCATTGTTTGGGATTTAAGCTATCTTGTAGCCAGCCAAGAGCAGTTGCTCTGATTAAATGTTTCTCACCTGGAAGTAACATTCAAAATGCCAGTGAACATGCAGAGATAAAATACAGCATTGACTCATCAGCTTTGACACCGTAGTGTACATTTTTCTGATGTGCTGCACTGACTGTAAAGATCCACTGCAACTGAGGAATAGGTCACAAATACCTGAGAAGAACAGGTATCTGAAATATTCTGGCCTGTAAGAGCATTCACAAAAGCTCATTTCACTACAGTTAGGTTGCTTTGCTTAGCCTAGCCAGGAGGCAAATTAGAGAACTGAGAATTCCCCTCTAGGATGGATTCCTGCTCAAACACTACCTCTCCTCTCTTTATTGGTACAGTTACAAAGGCAGCTTTTACAACCCTTTTCACTGCATCTTCCACTGCTCCAGCAATGATGCATCAGTACTAGCACACATATTATGTCAGTGCCTTTACTTTTCATCCAGGGAATTCTAATCCTAAAGCGAGAGCCCTGGAGCCGGACAAAGGAGAAGTCAGTAACTTTCAAGTTAACCTTTTAGACACGGTTAGAGAAGGTCAAAGTGTTTCACTTCATTATGTCACCATTTTATAAAAGAGGTCCCTCAATGTTTCATATTTGCAGCACTGGATTCATGTATATATAACTATTGCTCTTAAATGTTTCAGCCTTTTTTCATAAGGAAGTAGTAAAGAAGCTAGAATTTAGGACTTAGATATATTGTGTTGTGGAAATATTTTTGTACCTCCAAGAACTCTCCCCAAAAGGTGACAGCCTTCTTAAAATCTTGTTCTTATCCAGATTTCACAAATAAGCATGCATATTAAACATCTTTGATTTGCAATAGTTTCTATTTAATCATATCTCCCCAGAGTATTTAATTGTCTGGTTTCAGAATCCCTTCCCTTTTTGTTGTTCCCCCTTTTTCTGGCACATTGCCATGCACGTTTTCATATCATATTTCCAACAAGAAATCTATGTCCCAATGCAGGTCACATATAGTGGCTCCCCTGCCAAGTGGTTTCACTGTGAACACAGCAAACTTCAATAAAGTAGAAATTCCATCTCTTGATTTACACTTATGCTTGCAACACAAAGAGCAAACGTTAGGACAATCCTACCACTTTTAGGAATATTTTCTCACTATGCTCTGAAGGCATTGTAATCTCTGGCTTCTGAAGATAACCTGTATTTAAAAGAGTCACAGCTGCATTGTAGCTTTCCATGTACTGGAATATCTATCCAGTATCTTTTTTGCATTGATTTTTTTTCCTGAGGAATCGCTGTGGCCTCAAAGCCCAAAATGCTCAGATTCCCTTTGAGCTCACAGAAGGTGAGATGCATAGAAGTAAATAACTGTGAAAACACAGCCAGACAGTCCACACTTTTTAATTCCTCATTGCCAAGAAGTACTTGGCTATGCTGACAGCTGACTTCAAATCCAAAATTGCTTCTTTACAAGGGCCCAAGTACATGTCTTGTCCACTCTTATTTTCTGATGTCTCTCATGAAAATATGGAAATAGCATCAATAAGTTATTCTTTAGGTTGTTTTTTCCTCATGAAAATAAATATATTTTAAACCCTATCAAATTTCAGTGCAATGAAAGGAAACACTCTCAGCTGCCAAGGATTAAAAAGTTCCTAGGGTGTATCACAACAGCCTCAGTATCACAACATGAGCTGCTACATCTAACTTCCTTTACAAGGTAGTAAGCAAATAATGAGCATGCTTTTAAATGCAGTGAATATTGATTGTGAGCCTTCCGGAAATCTTGCTGTTTACATGGACTCCATACAGATGATCCTTCTGTGTCTTCCACCTAACTGTGTGGGATTTTTGGCAATGCTCTGTTTTATTTTGAGGAATTCAAGGATATTCACACATTGCTCTCAATACAACTTTGTTTTATTTGCCTTTGATTAACTACTAAAATCAATACAATGCAATTTTAGTTACAGGATCAAGATTGATGAACAGGAGAGCCAAAGAAATTGTAACAGTCCTTATAAAACCAGATTCTGGTATCTGGAGAACAGCTACTTGGACAAAGTTTTTGAAGAATACCAAATAATTTCAACTTCCTTATTAAATTTTGACATGTTAGAATTTGTTTTAGTAGTGGTAAACATGACCTAAGTAATCTTAAATGTAACAAATATAACACAAAAATTATGAACTCAGTGAAAGTATAGGATGAAGTAACATGATTCAATGTTTTTAAACAAAACTTTAGTTCTACAGGTGTTTAAAATTTCTATTTTTCATTCTGAATACAAGTGAATACAACAGCTATTAGAATCCAAAAAAAAAGCTTTTTGGGGTGCATTTTCTACAGAGCCTTTATAGCACTCTCTTTGCAAGATGAACAGAGTTATAAAATTGTTTACAGAGAAGAATAAAAAAAGGTCAATCACAACTGCTAGTAAAATTATCAGGCTTTAACTATAATCTTGTTAGACTGACATATGTAGACCTGTGTGTTAGATTACTACCAAATTGGTCTGCAGACCTTAAACAGCTGTTGTTTTTCTAAGATTAAGAATGTGAAAACTTTTATCTATAAATAAAGCATAGAACAATATGTTTCAATTCCTTCTCCTAGTCAGAACAAGGACACAAAAAATAGAGAAGTGTGTCTTGTTGTAACTGGCTAAATAAAATTCTAGGTTTAACAGCTGATACACATTTATAATTTCATTTAATTAGTATGTCAAGTTTTATGTAAGTAGTGGAAATATTACTATTATGGACAGAAATGTATCTATTAAAATATGTGAAATTCAAGAAAACATTTTAAAAACAAGTTGTAAAGCATTGGGCCTGGTTCAATGTGTTGAAGCTAGAGACTATTACGATTTTTTTACTGTATTGCACAAGATGCATTCCTTGAGGTCAGTTTCTTCTTGCCTACAGCTTATTGCTTTGAGCATACAAAATAAATTTGGAAACATTTGTTTGTAAACACAAATAGGCATTTGCATATAAATATGTTCCCCTGCATGGCAATAGCTCTGCTGTTCTCCATTAACCACCCTGATAAGTGGATTTAATTACCTAATGCTCCAGTAACTTGGCTGTAATTTTGACCCAGTGGGGAATTTAATGGAATAACAGCATAACATTCAGACTAATTTGCATTAGGGAAAGTAAAAGTGCAGAACAACGTTGAGGAAGTGCGAGTCACCACTCTGTTTAGCACAACTAAAACAGCATGTCTGTAACATTGGAAACTGTTTATCTGTAGGGGTTTTATTTCATAAAGTATCAGGAGGTGCTTGATGATGATATACATGGGCAGTAAAGACAAGAAGAAATCATACAGTGTGTTGTGCATCTATGAAAACAACAGAAAATGAGATATAGAGTTTATGCATATAAAATATGGGTCCTTGTTGCAGTGACGAGACCACCCCAGACATGCAAAAACATAAGAAGCATAAGGACCAGGGATCAGAACAGAGCATATAGAAAAATTCCATCTAAGACTGGCATCTTGCTGCACATCAGGTTACATTGGGTGAATTCTGACCTAATTTAACAGAAATAAGGATTTATTACTGCTAGTTACACTGCTAGTAACACAGGAAATATGCAAGATGACCTGACGATTAAAGGTCAACACAGAGACTTCTTGAATCTGTCTAATGAGTTTTTAATATCCATTTGAAACATTGTGTTATGCAACCAATTGCTGATAATTGTTTATTTAAAAAAAAGACACCTAGAGCTAGAAAGATTCTTCAAGAGATGATTTTACATTCTGCAGAATATCTTGCCAGATAACACAGCCAAATAAACCAAATAAGTGAGACTCCACGTCATTGGGATCTGCTTCCTGCTTTTACAGACAGTCTAGGTCAGGACAATCTCCCAGACATCTGCACAAGCCACTGTCACAGACCATGAAACACTACCTACAGTGTAAGGAACCCCAAACCTGCAGTACAAAGTGAAAAGCAAAGAGAATATTGCACAGGAAAAGTGCAGGAGTGAAGAACACACACTGACAATGGTAACATCATACAGTGAAAAACTTTGCTATAGACTTGTCTATAATGAGTACAGGACAAAGAATTATTAGAAAAATTTTCACATGAATCAAGACATTACTCCTGTCAATTGATAGCTTGCTTATGGTTTACAGATATTATACCACACACTTATCTGAATCTATGTATTGATGAGCAACTGAGCAATTAAGGCATTACTTTTCCAGGAAACTAAAGTTATTTTTAACAGAAGAATTTGAGATTTTAGAATCCCTGTATTCCATTTCTCCAAAATGAAAATGTAACACATAACATGTTAAT